CTTCTGGTTAGCCTTAGGCACTATGCTACCAGAGCTCCTTTTCAGCTCGGGGCCGACTTGACGGCAAATAACAACAACAACAACAATGCCTAGGATATCAAATATTTATGTGCTCAATTTCATTTTTGACAACTTCCAATTTTCCTATACACATACTTCATACATTCCATGTTCCGATTATTAATAGATGTTTGCAGCTGTTTCTCCTCAATTTGAATGGTGCCAAGTCAGCAAATGGAGGTCTGAAAAGCTTTACTTTATCCGTATGAGTAAAGTTGATTTTACTCTGATGATGGAGTTCTTTCCCAGTCTTATTTTGAGAGCCTTTTAACCTAAGTGACTCATCCTCCTCCTCTGTATTGGACAATGTTTCTGGACTATTCATAAAGTTGTGTAGTAATATGTCAGACAGTGTTTCTCTGCTATTCATTGGGCCAATTCTTTGAGAAGTGGATGGGCTCTTCCTTCTTCCTAGTCTGTCTCAGTCTGCAAACCACACTGGTACCTCTTCACCATGTGCACCCCACTGAATTTGAAACACCAGTGGCACAGTCTCAAGACTCACAGCAACACGTCACCACAGTAGGACAAACCAATAGACAAGTTTGTCTCTCTTAGCTATTGGAAAATTCTCCAACCTCCCCTTACCTGGATTCTACTGTTTCCCCCTCACTCTGTCCTGGTCCCCCTCACCTTTTTCTGTCCTTCCCCCTGCTTTCCTGTCTTGCTGCTTTGGGGCGTGGCCTGGGTTGCCTTCCCTTACCTGCATCCCTGCGGCTGACTCCTCGCTCTGTCCCCATCATCCCCCTTACCTTTTTCTGTCCTTCCCCCTGCTTTCTTGCCTTGCCATTTTGGGGCATGGCCTGGATTCCCTCCCCTCACCTGGATCCCTGTGGCTGACTCCTCACTCTGTTCCAGTCCCCCTAAAGAAACTGAAAACATACAAGGGTAAATTAATAAATAAGGAGCTCTGGTGGTGTAGTGCCTCAGGCATTTGACTGCTAACCAGACGGTTGGTGGTTCAAACCCACCAGCCACTCCACAGAAGGAAGACTGGGCAATCTACTTCCATGAAGATTTGCTATCTCGGAAACCCAAAGGGGCTCACTATGAGTCAGAATCAACTTGATGGCAGTGGGTTTTTCTTTTTGTTTTTGGTTTAAATCAATAAAGAATTTAAAAGAGTTATAAATAATATGAACTAAATAAAATAGGGTGATAGGACAAAGAATACTCAGGTGGGGGCTGCCTTAAAGCAATGGTGATATAAGGCTTCTCTGAGGAGCTGATTTCTGAGCAGAAACAAAAAATGGTAAGAATGAAACTGTCATGCAAAGATCCAGAGCATTCTAGGCAGAAAGAAGATCAAATACAGATGCCTTAGCATAGTGTGGTGCTTTTGTTTGTGTGTCAACTTGGCTAGGCCTAGTTGAGTGGCTGGGCAGCTGGTGGTAGTTATTCCCCATGATGAGACTGGCAATCAACTCCATGGTGGGATTTACCACAAGAAGCTGAGTAGCTGCCTTTGGGATGTGGTCTGCTTCCTGTATATAAGGAGAAGCCTTGGGAATGGTCTCTAGCCTGTGGCATGCTTGGACCCTGCATGTAGCCATGTCATTGTTCAGCAACCTTCCATGCTCTGCTGACCTTGGGACTTACAATGGACTTAAATTAATTGTCTACTGTGTGGTTTGGTAACTTTGGGACTGTGTCTTTTTACTGGTCAACTTTGGGCTTCTCAGCCTCAGTAGCCAGCAGCTGTCTGAGTGAAGAAATGTCTCTAGCTCTAGTGGGCCAGCAGCAGGAGGCAGAGCTGGACCTCAAGGTTGAGGGACTTTCACCCAGCCCCTAGAGCCTTGCACTTTGAAGTTGGACTTAAATCCTCTAAATTGTGAGAGAATAAACTGTTTGTTAAGGCCATCCCATTTGTGGTATATTTCCTCTCAGAGCAATACTAGGTAACCAGAACACATAGGGATAACACTGGGGTCTTCAAGAACAGAAAGGATAAGGATAAATCAATTATGTGATATGGGTGAGTTTAGCAGGGCCAGATTATCTATGGTAAAATAAGACTCCTTTGGTTGCTTTATAGAGAATAAACCATAAGAGTCCAGGATTGAAACCCAAGAGAATCATTACTCTTTAATAATCTGGTGTGGACTAGGAAAGGCCTGGCCATCTGATTCCATAAAGATTATAGCCAAGCAAAACTTACAGAGCACAGTCCTACTCTGTAACACATGGGGTCACCTGGAGCCAAAATTGACTCGATGGCAATGTGTTTGTTTTTAGCACACCTTAGGTATGCAAACCATACCTGCTATATTAAAAGCATTCGTTGTATATTTGTTGAATAAGTTAATGAGTGAAAAAACAGCATATTGCACATAAGCATTGAAATCTAGTAAAGTATACATTATGTGACTGATTATATATTTTAGGCATGAAAACCAAAAAAAAAAAAGGAAAGTATTAGGAGTCTTTGTATTTATGAGAAAGTCTAGAATTTCCATTTGTATTTAAATGGTTTTCTCATTATAAACAACTTAAACAATTTGAAAATAAATCTAAATTTAAGCAAGAAAATTCTAGAATGGTACTATTCACCAAACATCTGACATTCATAATGTGAATTCTATGGTTTCTTTGTACATTTATGGTCAGACTAAGAGGAAAATAATAGAAATACCACAATTAATGTTATCCATTAATTGGCAAAAAAAAAAAAAAAAACGGGGGCATAAAATAGACACAGATAGTCTGTCTTCTGTATATGAGCTATTTACACTGAAACTTCAGATTATATTCATGGCATGCTGAAGTTGGTCTGTATCACTTCTCAAGAACCGATTGTTAAATTTTTAGGAAATTTATGGACAGACTGATAAAACACCATTATTAAAATAAAATATATAAATGTAGTAGTTTAATTAAAAATTTCAAAACAAAGGTAGTAAACACACAAGACTCATCATTTCTTAATTAAATTATTATTATTTCTTATTAAATTATTTTTTTAAAACTTTCATGTTATCAATGCTCTTGAGGTTATATCAATTGCATCTACTTGGTGGCTATACCATAAAATGATGGGTTACTGCTCACTTCTTTCCAGTTCCACATGTAGTAAAGCCATATGCAGAGCTTGAAATCTGTCATGGTGGGAGTACTTACACCATAAGTATTAGCAAACACTATAAACCAGGGCTTCTCCTCACCCTCAGGAGAATCAGTTGTTTAATGTTTACCAGAACTCCACTATTTATAACCTTACTGATGCTATTGTCACTGTTATAGCATCTCTGGTTACAAACTTCCCAAGTCTAAGTCCCAGAAACTAAATTCTGTTTCATATTAGAAATGATGATTTGGGCATAAGGAAATAAAGACAACATGCTATGGCTGGCTTCTCGACAGAGAAGGTCAATATTGAAAGCAGTCTCCAAAATCATGTCCACAACAACCTCTGATTTCCTTTTGTGAAACAGTACAGTTAAGTGTACTGAAGATGTCTTTTCTCAAAGTTCAGAATCTAAACAATGTTTCAAAAATAAAAAGATACCATTTTCACCTATCAAATTAGCAAAAACTAAATATAAGGATATTAATATTGGAGTGTATACAGTGAAAAAGCACTCATATACAATGATAATAGAAGTATAATTTAATAAATATTTCTTAAAAGAATTTGGCTATATATATACAAATTGAAATATTAATACTTATTGTTTCATTTATAATTAATCTACAAATTTATAAAAATGTACTCAAAATAGCATTATTTATGATAGAAAAAAACTGGATAAATAAATGTTCTGTGTCTGAGGGAATATTATATATAATTGTAAATGAAATTTATAAACTTTTGAATGACATGAAAAATTTTCACTATGTAGCATAACTTATAAAAGTAGAATATAATGTAATATATTAAGTGTAAGTGAAAATATATCAAATTATATAAAATGACTAGGAATGAATTCAACAAAACAATAACAGTTGTTATTTTGGGGAATTTGCAATGTGTCTATTTTCCTTTCTTGTTTTTGTGATTTCCAAATTTTCTACAAAGACAAAATAAGAGTGCTTAAACTATAAGACAAAGTTTTCAATGTTCTAGCTACTTCATTTTTATTTTAAAGAAGAGGTTATATAGTTTTGGTAAATTTCACCAAAGTATAGTATTAAGTGAATCCAGCATTTTAAGTTATTAATACTCTGATACTCTGTTAAAGGAGTTTCTAACGTATGTATATGTGTGTGTGTATGTATGTTTCTATTTTAATAAAGAAAATCACCAAGTATTCTTTTAAATCAATTACATCCATCTTTGACTTAGTATCTTTTAGTTTTTATAATATCTGATACATTTCTCAAATCAATGTCAGTTTTAATTTAATATCATTAAAACAAACTACATCACACATCCAGGGTGAGAAAAAGCATCAAAATGAAAACAGATAATAGAGTGCTACAAATCCAAATAACAAGAAATCACTCTCAAATAATTACTTGCAATTAGCCAAAGCTTTCAAAAATACAGTTTACACAAAAGGGATAGGCTGAGACAAGAAAGAGGAAGAGACTAAAGGAACTATAATCTACCATATTATTATCTCATCACTATATTAGTATAAGCTGGAGAAGCCATGGGTTAGAAGAGGTTTAAACATAGTCCAGTGAATTTCCTTTTGATGTAAGAGAAGTTTGGATAGTATTAAATAATAGTCTAGTATTATGTACCATTCTAATGCATTATGAATTTTAATTGTGATTTGAATCCAGGTAATAATCAACAAGTATGTGGTATGTTGCAAATTTCTTTTTGCAACTCATAAGGGAAGATATATCAAGTTTTACAGTATCTTTCACATTTCAAATCTACTTAGGGAAACAATATTAGTGTGAATATCAGTTCTACTGTCACTCTTGGGAATCCATGTGGCCAAGAAATTTACAGGTACTTAATTAAAATGTGTCTTACATGACTGGCTTACCTGAAATTTTGACTTGAGACACCACTCCATCTCCTCCATCACTGTGTGCACGAACCTCTACAACATACTCTCCATCCCTGGGGATTGGGACTTCTATGGAGTGTTTATGAGTTGAATACAGCTTGCCATCATGTTGGCCATCAGGTCTGTAGAGTACCTTACAAAGTCCCAAAATATGTATACTTAATAGAGTTGTAATAATGAGCTGGGACCCTAACACTAAAACCAGATAAAAATGATTATACATTTTTTTTATTAATAAACAGTCTTAAGAAGTATTTAATAATAGTAGGATTTTTTTTTAATTCATAGAAATTGTTTTTCTTACATTTTTTAGGGTGATCCAAGATGATATATCTTAAACATTTGAATTTTATTTTTTGAGATGAGCCAAATTAAAGGGAAAGATTTTGTCTTTTTAATCAAAAGGTACAAAATAAGGGCTTTCTCAAAAATTTAAGTAGCTTAAAGAAATGATCTTATATTTTTTTCACATTATTGCTAAAATTTAATATCCAATGAAGAATGTCATAGTGTGTGACATAAAGAATATATGAAAATGAACTTCTCATTTTTATTCATTTACAGAAGGTAGTTCAATACATCAAAGAGTTCACTGTATGCAGTACAACACTATTCTAATCATCGCCAAACAAAAACGGATTCCTTCTATCTTAAGCAATAGTTATTCTAACAATTCTATACTTTAGAGCACTTACTGTATTGGTCTTGTTTACTTGACATAACATTATCCTGAAATTCCTTGAAAATGTTTTATTTCCAAACTTATCAGGGCACTATGCAATCCGATTCTGCTATCTGGTTAGATTAAGAAGCTGAACAGGCTTTGCCACAACAGCAAAACATCAATCATCCTTTGCAATCATGAAGCTCTGTGGAGACTGATCTAGCAATCTTTTATATACCTTATATCCTGTCACCGTTGATTCATTTGATAGTGCAACGACATGATCCCAGGTGATTATGTAGCGTGAACCAGACCTTATTGAACTGATGATCCTGGGAGGCTGGCTAGGAGCTGTGAAAAGTAATAATATGCGATCAGTGGTCACCATATCCAAACTAAGTTCTGCAAACTTCATCACATCAAGCATGATAATGCTGATGATAATGAAGTTGACAATAACAACAACCATCATTACATTACAACAACAACAGCTGATATTGATGAGTGCTCACTATATGCCAGACACTATGTTAAGTGCTTTTACATCTAGGAGCTCTGATCATGCCCCCAATGGCCCGGTGAAGAAGGTAATATAATTATCTTATTTTCTTCTCCTCATGTCCCCCTTAGATTTCTTTCCCCATCACACTTTCAGAAGTTCTGTTTTCAAGGTCACCAACACCTGCATTTGGCCAAATCAAATGGCCACTTTTATTCTTTCCAAACATAACATTTTTGGAGCATTACACAGAGCTGATACCTTCCCTTCCCGACTATTGCTTTTTCTTGAATTCAAAGTATCACAATACCTTGGGTTTTTCTCCTACTGCACAGGCTGCTCCTACTTATGAACTAGCCTTTTCTGGCTTCATGTCCTTTGCTTAACTTCTAAATGTTGGGATTATTTAAGGTTTAGTACTTCTCTCTTCTATGCATGTATCTTCCTTAAATACTTATATTTGTGCCCATGGCTTTAAGTATAATTCTATTTCAAGTCCTAACCTTTCTTTTCATCTGAGAACATATGTGTCCAACTGCCTATGTCTCCTTGAGTGTCTAAAAAGAGGGAATATTTGACATTATCCCCAAATACACTGCACCAAGAGCCTCTCTCATTTTTCAGCCAATGGAACCAACAAATTCCCATCTTCTCAAATAAGAGTTCAGTCTTCCATTCCCCTCACCTACAAATTAACAGCAAGTTGTCACCTCTGCCTGCAGAAAATTTTCCACTTCTCTATCTCCATTAGTATCACCTAGTGCTGACCATCAGTTTTCTCCTTGATTACTAAAATAGCCTCCTTATTTCCCTTCTGCTTTCACTCTTGCCACACCACTATCCATCATCTACACAGAAGCCAGAATGATTTTTAAAACTTAATATCACACTTTGCCTTAAAATCTTCCAATGGCTTATCAGACTCAATGATGAAACAAAGAAAAACCCAACACCTTGCCATGACCTAAAAAGCTCTTTATATATTGGCCTCTGCAGACTTCTTCCTTTCACCATGCTATGACCCCATTGGACTTTCTACACCTAAAACATAGCAAGTTATTTCCACTTCAAAGCTTTTATACAAGTTATTCATCTCTGCCTGGAAAAGTCTTACCCCAGGTTACCACATAATGAGTCCTTCTTGCCATTCATATCTCAACTCAAATATCTTCTTCTCAAAGAGGCCTTTCCTGATTGCCCAACTGGATTCAGCTCTCACCTAAGTCATTGTATTATATCACCTTTTTATTTATTTTAATTGCATGTCATCTGCTATGTGATTATTTATTTGTCTGTATTTTTTTCCCCATTAATTTGCAAACCCCATGAGAAGAGTATCTGGGTCTGACTTGATCCCTTCTGTATCCTTAATACCTAGAACAGTGCTGGGCACAGCATACCTTTGATTGACTGAATAAGTGCATGAATAAATGGAAAAATGAACAAAGGGCTGAATTATCCTTTTAAAGATAAGAAAACTGATATTTAGAAAGGACAAGTAATTTGTCTAATGTCACATATTTATAAGTAGAGGAAGCAAATTTCAAACCCACGTCTGACATCAAAGTCAGGTTTTTATCACCAAGTATTGCTATCTCATTAGCAGTTTCTTTCCTCCTAAATGTGTGTCATAAGTTTTCAAACCCTAATGATAATCATGTTTTCAAATTTTTCTGAAGCTCCCTAGGGTCTTGCATACAAATTATCTTCCTTTATATATCCAACTTGTGTGCAAGAAGAAAGAGAAATCAAAGTGAGGCCATAAAGTATAGAATGTCTAGAAAACCTTAATAGGGTAGGTGGTCTTGTTATATGGACAATAAGAATATAGGGCAATAAGAGACTAAACATAATAATATGACATTTAACTTGCATTTGCACTGTGGAATGCTGATAGTTTATGAATCAAAGCACAGATAAATGAGCAATACTATAAAAACAATGTTTAAATTAATAAAAGCAGAATGGAAACTAGTTAATTTTCTAACAGTTCAAAATGTCAAGGGGTGTATTTACAAAGGAGAGTTCTGTAATTTTACTTCTAAAATGGAATGTTAAATGTATGACATTTTCTACAGTTTTCTTTATTTATAATAACCAACAAAGTAAAGCAAAACAAAACAAATTCCCATGTTACCCAAAAGGGTATAATTGAAAACCATATGTAGTAACATTGCTAAGCCCTAAATTTCTCTCAAATGTACCCTTATCATGATGGAATTAATCGTAGTTTTTGACAAGTCTAAAATCAAAGAGACTCACGTGCTTTCTTGGTGAAGGTTTCAATCACATCACTGGGTGGACCACACCCTGCACTGTTGCAGGCCCTGACCTCCACAAAGTACTGGGTGTCTGGCACAAGGTTCTCCAGCCTGGCAGAGTATTCTTGGCTAGTGACTTGAACTCTGTGTGCAGCTGCTTCTTTGTCATGGGCAGCCCAGTACCGAATCTACAAACATGCAAGTTGTATAATATTTAGTCATGATTCAGACTCATCAGTACTGAAAAATGCTTTGCAATTGACTGTAACCTTTAGGTTGGACTGAACATCATATTCTCAAACGTTGCTTAATGGAAATGCTTATCACTAATCTTATACTTTTTTCAGTATTAGACAATGGCAAGGTATATGTGCAGATTTACTTAATGATGTCAAAATTAAGTCAAAAACTCACTGCTTGAAATAGTCTTACATTGACAAAAAAAAAAGGGACAGAGAAACTCCATGTAAGATTTACCTTTAAAATATATAACTAATCCCTGGAAGTAATCGCTGCAATTTTTATAATTTATTTCCTGTTTTATTTCTGCTTACATGATTTCCAAATTATTAGAAACCATATAAAGACAATATGGGGAGCTCTGGTAGCATAGTGGCTAAAGCACTTGACTGCTAACCAGAAGGCTGGCGGTTCAAACCCGCCAGCCACTCCTCGGAAGGAAGGTTGGGCAATCCTACTTCCGTAGTGATACTGCCTCGGAAACCCAAGGAGGGGTCGCTATGAGTCGGGGCCGACTCGACGGCAAATAACAACAACAACAACAACATGAGTTTCTATGACAAAAATAGTCATTATCTGCCCGAGAACATGCAGTGTACAGTATTTTTATGCAAAGAACCCTTCCTCTAGTTTGTTTGCCAACCACACCCTTCCTCCACCCTGAGATGTTTTCATAAGAGCTCTGTGCTATTTTTTTTCTTACATGTTGCTATATAAAAAAAAATATATAGTATATTTATGAACATACCTCATGGGGGAGGGCACAATTGGCAAACAAACCTGGAATAAGCATGTTAGTTGGGTAAAAATATGGTAAAACTTTCTGCTAGTTCATTTGAGAAGTATGTAAGTAAAGGCATTTCCTTTTAGCCTATATGAAAGTCAGATATCAAAGAAATAGTGTACAAAATAACTTTACTGTTGTAGAAATTAATCTTTAAAAGAGAGTTATGGTTGTATTTTATCCATGTTGTGATAAGAAATGATGACATTTGCTAACCAAAGTATAAATTACAACTTTCCTTGTCTTTTAAAAGTGTGACAAAAAGCTATAAAAAAATCTCATTCTTCAAATAAAGGTTGCTTGATTGGTCAAAAATCTATAATTATATCCAAAGAATAATGAAAAGGAAAGAATAGATTGTTTAGAAGTATACTTTTATTTTACCTATTTTTACATTTTTTGGGTATTGGAGGATATTTTTATTTTTATTATTATTATTTTTCAATTCCCTCTACCCATAGCAAACTCTGGTGGCATAGTGCCTAAAGCATTTGACTGCTGATCAGGAGGCTGGCGGTTCAAACCCACCAGCCACTCCTCAGAAGGAAGATTGGGCAATCTACTTCTGTAGTGATACTGCCTTGGAAACCCAAGGAGGGGTTGCTACAAGTTAGATCCAACTCGACGGCAGTGAGGTTTTTTTTTTTTTTTTTAATGTCCTCCAAATTCATCCATGTTATGAAGTGACTTATAGATTCTTCATTATTATTTAATGTTGCATATTGTTCCATGGTGTGAATATACCATAGTTTGGTTATCCACTCATGTGTTGATGGGCATTTAGGTTATTCCCATTTCTTTGCTGTTGTAAATAGAGTTGTGATGAACATGGGTGTGCATATATCTATTCGTGTCCTGGGTCTCACTTCTTTAGGATATATTCCTAGTAATGGGATTCCTGGATCAAATGATATTTCTATTTCCAGCTTTTTAAAGAAGTGCCATACCATTTTCCACAGTGGTTTTACCATGTTACAGTCCCACCAGCATTGTGTAAGACTTCCAATCCCTCCATACCCTCATCAGCATTTGTTGTTTTCTGTCCTGTTGAAGTTTGCTATTACTGCTAGAGTGAGATGATATCTCATTTTTGTTTTGATTTGCATCTCTCTAATGGCTAAAGATTGTGAGTATTTCTTCATATGTTTGTTGGCTGCTTGAATATCTTCTTTGGTGAATTGTCTGTTCATATCTTCTGCCTATTTTGTATTTGGATTGTTTGTCTTTTTGATGTTGAGGTGTTGAAGTTTTCCATAAATTTTAGAGAAAAGTTCCTAGTCAGATATGTTATTACCAAATATTTTTTCCCAATCTGTAGGTTCCCTTTTGACTCTTTTGGAGGAGTCTTTTGATGTCCACAAGAATTTCGTTTTTAGAAGGTCCTACTCATCTAGCCGGGAGCTCTGGTAGCATAGTGGCTAAGACACTTGCCTGCTAACCAGACGTCTGGCAGTTCAAACCCACCAGCCACTCCTCGGAAGGAAGGTTGGGCAGCCCTACTTCCGTAGTGATACTGCCTCGGAAACCCAAGGAGGGGTTACTATGAGTCGGGTCTGACTCGACGGCACATAACAACAACAACAACTCATCTAGCCTCTCTTCTGTTGTTTGTGCATCATTATGCTTGATAGTCTATTTATAACATAAATTGGGATCCCTAAATTTGCCCCTGTTTTATCTTTGATGATGTTTATAGTTTTGGGTTTTACATTTAGGTCTTTTATCTACCTTGAGTTAGTTTTTATGTATGGTGTGAGGTATGGATCATGTTTCATTTTTCTGTAAATGGATATCCAGTTTTGCTTACACCATTGGTTGAAGAGACTATCTCCTCCCTACTGAATGGATTTTGGTCCTTTGTCAAAGATCAGCTGTGCATAGGTGGATAGATCTATTTCCATAGTGTTTAGAATTATACTGTTACTTTAATTATTTTTAGATGCCTTATCTAGAAAACAATGGGATTTTAATTTTACAATTAACAAAATTTAACACAACCTTGAACTTTTTATTTGCATAAATACAACATGAAATGGCTTAAATTCACTTGGTGAAAAAAAAATGAGGTTTATATGTAGAATGAACACATTTCAGAGCAAAGGCTAGTTACTAACTGCTTATTGGTTTCTTGTGCAATATCTTCATTTTGTTTAGTAGTGCTCATTTTTCTGATGCTAACAATGTATTTCCTAATGGTTTTGATAGAATCTCTGGCATTTCTATTATCTGACCAGAAAGCTTCTCAGGATAGAAGAAGTGGACTTGTACCAATACCTCCAAAGACAGATCTCAGTTGGCTGAAAAAAGACTGGAACAATGGTAGCCACCTCATGAAGGTGTGTGTTTACCTATGCTGGAAGTGTTCAGGTGGGAAGAAGGAAGACAGCCTACATTTGAGTGAAGTAGATAACATGTATGGTCTCCTCCACTGTTAACTAAACAGAAATAAAGTGAACATTTACATTTTAGTTAAATGTCAGCCTCTTTGTTAGTGTGCACATGCATTTTCTTCTCAGCAAACCTATGATTGTACGTGGTTTTTATTTTTGGTTTAAAGCATTAGAAACTGAAGTCCTTAAGGTTCAGTGAAAGGCATTATAGCCAAATGAAGAAAAGCCCAGTATACATAATTGTGTGACTCTAGGTTTATTAACTTATTATCTTAAGTCCTCAGTTTTCTCATCTATAAAAGGAATAATTATTATAACAATCCATATTATAGTACCATTGAGAGAGTTAGAAGCCTCACCACATGTAAGGCATCTGACTTGTAGTTGACACTAAGCCCAAACCAAACCCAACCCATGTCATTGAGTCAATTCCAATAGTGACCCTATAGAACACAGTAGAACTGCCTCATAAGGTTTCCAAAACTGTAAATCTTTATGGAATTATACTGTCTCATTTTTCTTTCTCAGAGCAGCTGGTGAGTTCAAACCACTGACCTTTTGGTTAGCAGCCAAATACCTTAACCACTGCACTACCAGAGCTCCTTCGCAGTACTAAATGGTAGCTAATTAGGTAATAAAAATAAAGTTCTTTTTCCAAAGCAATTTGACCTAAAAGCTCAATTTGAATTTGACAAGGGAGTATTCACTTGGAATTACTGCTACTGACATACTGCATTAAATAAAGTGTATACTATTTGAAAAAACATTTTTCAACTCATAAAAAAATAAATGAACACTTGAGGAAGAAACTTGTATGTCAAACATAAAGTTAGGAAAGACCTGGAACAAATAAAGCTTGGCTTAATATAGCCGTATGGCCAAAAAAGTTCATATAATTACTACACAGTAAAATGTCAGTAAAGAATGCAGTGGTACAATCTAATGGAGTTTTAAGCATGCAGAGAAAGAGAAATAAGAGGGAAAAAATGAAAGCATCACCTTTATCATTGAATATGATGATTTAAAGCTAGAAAAATTCTGATACATTTTGGGTCCTTATTCAGAAGGCCATAATGAGACTATATGCTCATTTATGCTATATAAATAAGCATATACTAGGAAATATAATTGGTAATAAGGACTTCAATGAAAGATACAAATAACTGAGTGCAAGTAGAACAGGATAAGAACAATAAGAACTACATAAGAGGGTTGTCAGGACCTATAAGGAAAGGGATCCAATTAGGACCAGCATGATATCCTCCATCTAACTGACTTTTAGTAATAAGAAGGAGCAGGCACAGATATCAGAGCTCATATTGCATATAACTACCTAGAGTACCTAGTGCAAAGCTGTTAAAATGGGCTATGGGTAAAATCATCTTTAAAACACTTATTTTTTCTTGTCATAATGTTATAAGTTACAGAATCCTTTCAAAGACAAATATTGTATTAGTTCATTATTGTAAAATGTCAAGGAAAGATTTATATATGGAAGGAAACTCTGTTAGTTACCAGGCATGGGAGGGGAGAGAAGAGAATACTGAAAAAATAATTTTTTAAAAAAAGAATCTTTTCAAGTAAAGGATTTTACCCCTTTTTATAGTATTGGAAACTGAGGTCCTTGAAGTTCAGTGAAGGAATTATAGCCAAGTGAGGAAAAACTAGGATACATAATTGTGTGAAAAAGTTGTGTACAGGTACCAAATGTACACATAATTCATGACTATGACCATCTAAAATCTGAGGCACAGATAAACAAAATAATGCAAGCAGCAGTTTATAAAACTCTGCTTTAATTTGAATAATCTGCACTATGGTATAATCTGAGCTCTGGTAGCGTAGTGTCTAAGGCACTTGACTGCTAACCAGAAGGCTGGCAGTTCACGCCCACCAGCCACTCCTCAGAAAGAAGGTTGGGCAATCAATCTTCCCAAACTGTGTTTAGAATAATTGAGTCATTGAGATTCATTCATTCATCCAGTCATGACAAACTGAACACCTATCACACTAGATTGTGGAATACTTACCAAAAGGTTTTAGGTACTAGGGACTGAGTGACAATCAAAACAAGGGTCTTACTCGCATGGAACATTCTCACTTGAGAGTGTGACTGCAACAATGCTGTATGTTTAGTGAACCAAATTTCCTTTTCCTCTGTCACATGGCTGTATTATGTTTTCTCTTTTTTGTTGTTGTTGTTATTAGGTGTCATGGAGCCAGCTTTGACTCATAGAGACCTTATGTACAACTGAAGGAAACACTGTTTGGTCCTGCACAATAATCAATTATTGAAATTTTTGAGCCATTGTTGAAACTACTGTGTCAATCCATTTTGTTGAGGGTCTCCTCCTTTTTGGCTGACCCTCTAGTTTACCAGGGAGCTCTGGTAGCATAGTGGCTAAGGTACTTGACTGCTAACCAGAAGGCTGGTGGTTCAAACCCACCAGCCACTCCTCGGAAGGAAGATGGGGCAATCTACTTCCATAGTGATACTGCCTCAGAAACCAAAGGAGGGGTCGCTATGAGTCGGGTCCGACTCGACAGCACATAACAACAACAACAACAACTAGTTTACCAAGGATTATATCCCTCTCCAGGGACTGGGCCTTCCTGATAACGTGTCCAAAATACTTTGAGTCAGGTTCTGCTTTGGGTGATCCAGACTAAGACAAATACCTTTTACAAAATAAGAAAATAAAGCACTTCCTAAATACTAATTTATGTTAATGATAATAACAATGTTTGAAAACATCTGAGGAGAATATTAGGGCTGGTAATCTTTCATGATAACTATGAAATCAATCATTTATGTTAATCTCTGCTTTACCTGCTAAGAGATTTTTCATTCATTTTATTTTTGATGGAATATTTTGCTTGTTTTCATCAATTAATTAGGTCAATGTTTCTTAACTGCTAGTTAGGCAAACTAAATTTTTTGTGGTTTCCTGGGCAGGAGCCCAAAGTTCTAAAATGCCTTTGATAAGGACCTCTTGCATTTCTCTAGTTTACATACATTACAGGAAAGCTCAATGGGTATTAAGATTAGAAATGTGGAACCTTTAACTAGGCAAGAGGGAAAAATGAGTAAAGCTTAAATATTCTACTGAGACACACTTTAAAGCCACAGAGGAAGAAGATTATTTTTAAACTCAATTGACTACAATTCTCACTTGAAATGTCCAGAAATTAACTTTGAGATAGGGTAAATCACACAGAACTTGGTGCTGCCCAGCTTTTTTTTTTTTTCCTTTATGTATTTCTTATATTCTCTCTGCTTCTTTATAACTTAGACCCATAGTACATTTTCATGGGAAGCATGGCCGAGTATTAGTTTTCTCCATCATCCATCTCGCTAAAACACTGGCTTCTCACGTCATATTTTAAAATAGAAACAATTAACTCATTATAGTCAAACTTTTCCTGCGATTTGTTAGCAGGAGCATTTTCTTATGGGAGAATAAAATATAATAAATTTCCCTTTTAAGATTTTAAGCTTTTATCTCTGTCATTTAAGCCTATGTGTGGAAGAGTTACAAGGATTTTAAGAAAGATGAATGGAAACAATAATTTTGCAATTTACATTTAGCATTTTTAATGAACTTAGGTAACATCTAAGTTCAAATCCAGTTGTGACAATTATTATTCAAACATTTCTAACCTCAAGTTCCTTTAAAATAGGGACAACAATAGCGCCTGTCCCCTAGGCTTGTAGATTAAATAAATTAGCTTTATAAAATGTTTAGCGCAGTAAGGGTTTAAGAAATGTTGTTATCATTACTATCATCACAGTCATTTTTATCACTGCCATTATCATCATGATCAATATCATCACTGTTTTCAAAAGCCCAATGATACAGAATAGGCAAGATCATTAAAAACATGTCTTCCACACAACAGTCCTATGACACAGTGGTTAATATCTCGATTTTAAAGATGAAGATCAAAGGCTCAGAAAGTTAAAAAACCAAAAAATACCCTCACAATTCAAATTGAAGGAGCTGAAATATAAACCCATGTCTGCTTAGCTACAAAGCTCATAACTTTTTACTTAATGTGGAGTCACAAAAAGTCAGCAATCTGTGAGACTAAAGTTCTCTATAAGCAGGCAGTTTTTTCTTGAAATTAACATTTGTGAAAATTGTATTTGTTACATATTATCATTTTGTGGACTATTTAATTGAGAATCCTTAATTGAGGCTTATTTCACAATTAGAAAAGCTTATATTCTGAATGTTGTCTGAATCCATTAGTATCAGTGTATTGTTTCCTTCTCACATTTCATTTGTATTCTACTTGCTCGAAATTATAAAATAGTCAATGTATAATTCTTGGCATGGCAAAAGGGCTCTCTGACCTTTGTTGTGAATAAAGTAAAATACATACTTCGTATATGTGACAGCTTTGCTTTTTAACACTTTCAAGAGGTCTTTTGCAGCAGATTTGCCCAATCCAATGTCATTTGATTTCTTGACTCCTACTTCCATGGGTGTTGATTGTAGATCTGAGTAAAATGAAATCCTTCACAACTTCAGTCATCCCACAATTTATCATAATGTTGCTTATTGCTCCAATTGTGAGGATTTTTGTTGTCTTTATGTTGAAGTGTAATCTATACAGAAGGCAGTAGTCTTTGATCTTCATCAGTAAGTGCTTCAATCTTCTTCACTTTTAAGCAAGGTTGTGTCATCTGCACAGTGCACAGTGCAAGTTGTTAATGAGTCTTCCTGCAATCCTCATGTCACATTCTTCTTCATATAATCTAGTTTTTTGGATTATGTGCTCAGGATACAGACTAAATAAGTATGGTGAAAAGATACAACCCGGACACACAACTTTCCTGATTTTAAACCATGCAGTAACCCCTTGTTCTGTTCAAATGACTGCTTCTTGGTCTGTAGGTCTGTGTAGGTTTCTCATGAGCACAATTAAGTGTTTGAGAATTCCAACTCTTTACAATGATACCTGTCATTGGTTAGGATCCACACAGTCGTATGTCTTTGCGTAGTCAGCGAGACACAGGTAAACATCTTTCTGGTACTCTTTGCTTTCACCCAAGATCCATCTGACATCAGCAATGACATCCCTCGCTCAGCCTTCTTCAGAATCTGGCTTGAATTTCTGGCAGTTCCCTATTAATATACTGTTGCAACAGATTTTGAATTATCTTTAGCAAAATTTTACTTGCATGTTATTAAAGACCTTGACTATCTTTCTTGCTTCAATTTTTCAGTCCGTGCTTCTTTTGTCTAAGAAAATCCTCCTGTTTCTATCTGCTTTTTCTACTGTTCTATAAGAATGAACTCAAGGGAAATTTTATTTGGGACATTTTGATTGTTGGAAATTATGTGTTTTTACATACAATATTATGAGACATATATTTGGCATATTTATTATTGTTGCCTATGGAGGGATTTCTAGAAGCAGAATTACTGAGTCAAGTAGAATGATCATTTTATGGATGCTGTTATAAACTACCAAAATGCTTTTTAAAAAGCTTGAGTTTCCCCAACATTCTATAAGAATGCTTGCCTTAAAATACCTAGGCTAACCATGTGTGTTTTTAACTTAGTTTTCCTTTTGGTTAATTGTTTCTCAGCCCAAAGGAATTTTATATCTCTCCTAGCTAGGCCACTTGGAAACTTCTGTTTTACAGTTAACAATTAGTTTATAAATGCCCAATAAATTAAACACTGAGAATATAGTGTTAATTGCCACATAAATCAATAGGACACAAAACGTTGAAAGACACAACACATTTGAAAATTTGTTGTGATCTTTTATGAATAAAGCTATAAAGTTAGATAAACATTAAACCCACCTGGTAGCCTTCCACTACTTTTTCTACAACATGCTCCCAATGAACAGATATCTCAGAAGATGATAAAACTTTTACTCCTACTTCTGTAGGGGCTTCACTGGGAGCTGAAATTTGATGAAAACATTATAATCTTAGTAAAATACTCAAATAAATAAATTCAAATAGCACCATTTGCTGTATGAATGAATTAAAAATATTTTTTAAAAATATTTGCAAACTATAAAATAAAATAAGTCTAATAATTTTACTACCTATTCCTCCATTTCTACTAACATGACTTGATTTCGTGGTCATCAGTGATACATGTACACACACATTCAGATATATGAATGTTAATATATACACACACATAAATCTACTCACACCACACACTCACACTCCCTAGCCACCCACACATAAACACTTTGAATATGGAAATATGGAAAGTTTCATGAAACTCTTTGATATCTATGAGTAAGAACCATACTATTTTATTTCATTTATTCTAAATTATTTGCTTAAGAAAGCCTGTTAATGCAAATTAAAATTCAAGATAGTTAGCTTATCAATTCTGCATTATCAAAACTAGGAATTTTGATATTTATTGTAGAAAATTGCCTATAACAATTAATTTTTCTCTTTCTAGCTATTTACATGAAATAATAATATACAGCACTGTTATTAATAAAAATTTCCTATTTTTTCAAGCTCAGACCATTTTTTGTTTCTTAAAATTCTTTGAAATAAGTTGTGACATCACCTATGTGTGGACTTAGAAAGGCTTCTATACATCCACTCTTCCAAATGGGTACCAAGTCAAATATGTAACAAAAAAGCCTCTATTCATAGGGAAAAAAATTACATCCGTTATGAAACTTACACAAAGAATCTAAGGAAACTTCTAAGCAGAAGTGATTGATTTTTTTGTCTTTCATTAACATGCTATAATCCCATTTTTATGTTTAAAATGTCCTACACGTGGACACTGTTGCCTTTCCAAATCACAGTAAGTGTGTGGCAATATGATTGATTTCTTAGCAGTAAAAGGAATGAATAACATTCCTACAAATTTTGACACAGGCAGGTTTTAGGAAACTTATGAGGCATTTAGGAAAGAAATATAATCAAATACAAACAGCCATGACTAAATAGATGACAAGCATGGATTTTTGCTTGAATGCTTAGTTTAGTATCAAATAAAACAGTAAGAAACATAATAGATACTGGGTGAGAAAATAACTTGTAAAATATTTTTTGTATTCATTTTCTCTGTACAATGTACTCAGTATTGTTCAAATTATTAAATTTGAGTCAAGTTATCATTTTATGTTGAATGAGCTAATAAGCATAGAGTATGCAGCATTTATTATTTTGATTATAAACTTGAATAATTTCCTTCTACTTTTTATTCTTTATATTTATATATATATCAGACTCTGAAACATTTTTGTATATACCACATAGCTTTGTTGTAAAACTCAGGTTTGCTGATCTGTAGGAGTTTCTAAAATTTCTTTGGGACAAAGTCTGTCTGTCATGTATTAAAGTCTCTCTTCATCTGGGGATATTGATGTTGCATCAGCGAAAGAATATTAGTGCATTCAATACACAGTTAAACAGCTCTGCTGTATGGAAATCAGAAGAGGGGCCACTGGTGGAGGAATAATTGAGGGCATTGAGGAATTCTGAATCCTAGAATTCCTTAGCCAACACAAAAACCATCTCTGCACCATTCTTGGTGCCTTATAAAAAGAGAAACATAAAAGAGGATTTTAGAGCTAGAGAACATAGTTCAATCCATTGTCATACTGATAAAGCAACTGAGTCCAAAAAAGACTAAGAGACTATCTTAAGAGCACACATACAGTAATGTGCTATCAGAGGTGGAACTATATATTCCTTCTGTATGCTTAACTATATATTCCTTCTGTATGTTTAATATTGAATGAGTAAATCAACAACAAAGAAAATAATATTATAATTGAAAAGTTCAAATAATAAAAAAAGACCAAGCTTACTGATCTGTTAGATACTGGTGGAACTCCCTGAGCCTATGGCTCTTAGATACCCTTCAAGCCTGTGGCTCAACTTTCAGCTAAGTAATAAAACCCACTGCAATCCATTTAATTCTGACTCATAGTGAATTGATAGAACAGAGTAGAACTCCATAGGGTTTCTAAGGCTGTAACTCTTAACAGAAACAAATTGCCTCTTCTTTCTCCTGTGTGGCTGCTGGTGGGTTCAAATTGCTGACCTTTTGGTTAGCAGCTGACTGCTTTAACCACTATGCAACCAGAGCTCCCACAGTCAAACAATGGACAGGTTTGTAAGGTGAGCAATACCACCAGGGAGGTATGCACTTCTTAGAACAATCAGCCATACGCACTATCACACAATCAGCCATATGAGATCAAAGGACAGCATTTGCCCAGGAATCAAGTGAAGAAATCAGAAGGGGGATAGGTAAGAAGGACAAGTGGAAACAGTAAACACAGGGAGAAAGAGAGAAGAATCTTGTTACATTGTGAACTTTGCAGTGAATATCACAGAACAAATATGTATGAATTTTTTAATGGAAAAACAATTTGCTCTGTAAACCTTCCCTCAAATCACAACCAAAAGTTATTAAAAATTGAAATGGTTCAAATTTAAGGATGCATGTCAAGCTTTGTAGATGTGAAATATGGAAATATGGAAAGTTTCATGAAATTCTTTGATATCTATGAGTAAGAACCATACTATTTTTATTTCATTTCTTCTAAATTATTTGCTTAAGAAAGCCTGTTAATGTAAATTAAAATTCAAGATAGTTAGCTTATCAATTCTGCATATCAAAACTAGGAATTTTGGTATTTATTATAGAAAATTGCTTATGACAATTTTGTAGATCTGTAAATATCAGAGTTAAGTGTTCAATCAAATTCAGTTTTCTGTGAAATGAAGATGCCCTAGTCAGTCCTTCTGTTTTTAGCACTTACCCATACAAAAGAGCACATAACCATAATAAAGTAAGATGGCTGCCATGCCCTCAGAAGAAGACATAGTCATGAGTCAAGATATATTTTGATTTACTAGCCTTCATGGCTTGAGAAGAGAACATCTTGGATTTAAGTCTCATTCCACCCCTTTATGACTTTTTAAAGCCTCAGCTACCTTATATGTAAGAACAATAATGCCTTCATCTTAAGGATAATGTGTATAAAGTACTTAGTATAGCTGGCGTATAAAGAACAAGCCATAATAGCAGCAATGATTCCATAGTTCACTCTGTAAGGCTGCTTTCTCCGATGCTCCATAACCAATGGCCACAAGAGTATCTTCCTGTGCTCCATTTAAGACCTCTAATGGTACAGTGTGACATAGGTTTCAGATTAAAAAGAGAAAACGAGCTAACCTTTGCCAATAACGCATGTAGGATTAAAATAATAAAACTTTGAGAAATGGACACACTTAAAGCACTCTGCATTAACAAAATTCATCCTAATAACTCATTGGACAGCATGTTAAGAAGCAAACTTAATTTTACATTGCTTTCTATTACTTTCCTAATTAATACTTTTATCATTAAGAAAACCTGTGTAGCTTTGTAGACAGGTAAATTTGAAATAATTTTCTTGAACAAGAATGTCAATGCCAAGGGTGAATGTGTTAGGTAGGCAGCCAGAGAAATCTCTATTTGCTTTTCTAGCCATTAGTTATTTACACAGAGCACGTGAATAAAGAGATATAAGAAGGTCTGATCTTTTCTACCAGAAAAAAATATAATAAAAGGCATATCAGCTTAAATAGAAAATTATATAAATAATTGTAATTATGTTTAATATAAAATCATGTTATTTAGCATAGATGCACAAAGTCCTCTATTGGCATGATCCGTTCAATTAAAATTTCTAGAAAAAACTAAGAAAGCTAGTATCAGTATTTTTTTCCCCAAAATGGCTTTTTGTCCCATTCCAAGAATAGACTTCAACTGACTTTCTAATTTCTTTTTTACATAATCATATGTGTTATTGTTTCTGTGAGGTGCCATTGAGTTGTCTCCCACTCATAGCAACTCTATGGACACCAGAAGGAAACACTGACTGGTCGTGCACTATTCTCACAATCCTTGCTATGCCTGAGCCCATCTAGAGTCCCTTTTATTAAAATCCCAGTGCTTTATTGTAATAACAAGAAAAATATTTGCTTCAATACTACAATTATACAAACATTATGTTTAAAAGAGCAAAAAAAAAAAAATGTATGTGTTAAAGAATATGTAGTAAACTGGATGAATACACAGACATACTGAGGTCCCATACAGACAATTTCTGGCTGCAAAATTACAAACAGGAGGCCAGAAGCTGAGGTCTAATATGAGTGTTTTCATGGGGATTTCATAACTACCACAGGTCTAAAATTTGAAGATTGTAGTGACTTAGGTGGAGAAAAAGATTGAAAAGTTCTAATTTTATTCAAGGAGCTCTGGTAGCATAGTGCCTAAGGCACTTGACTGCTAACCAGAAGGCTGGTGGTTCAAACCCATCAGCCACTCCTCGGAAGGAAGGTTGGGCAACCAACTTCTGTAGTAATACCGTCTCAGAAACCCAAAGAGGGGTCATTATGAGTTGGGTCCGACTCAATGGCACACAACAGCAACAACAATTTTATTCAAAACAATCTCCTTTAGTAAATGTATCCAAAACCAAACCAAAGTCATTGCCATAGAGTTGCATCCAACTTGTAGTGACCCCTCCTTGGGTTTCCGAGGCATTATCACTATGGAAGTAGATTGCCCCATCTTCCTTCTGAGGAGTGGCTGGTGGGTTTGAACCGCCAGCTTTCTGGTTAGCAGTCAAATGCCTTAGGCATACGCCACCAAAGCTCCTTAGTAAATGTGTAGTACTATAGAAATTTTATACCAAGTAAAAACTGAAAGAAGGCAAACTAAAAGCCTATCAGATGTTAGGTTTTCCCCCATAATCATGTTAGAAAGATTTTCTTCTACTTACCGTCTTGTGCTGAATTAATAACTGCTGTGAGGCTATAGGGTCCATCACCTTTGTTGTTGAAGGCCTTAACTTTCACTTGAAATGCAGTGGACGGGCGCATAGTCTCATCTTTATGGACATATCGACCAGTATCTGGATTAGTAACTGTAACTTTTTTCCATTCTTCCCCATCAAATGGCTTAAATGCCACTATGTAACCAAAATTGTTGCCATAATGATATTCTCTTGACAAAGGCTAAATTGAAATGAAAGTATTGAATATGTTTAAGATGCATCGTTAACAGAAGGAAAAGAAAAAAAATAACCTATCAAATAATAAAGGAAAGCATGCTCTTTGTAAAAATATTCATTACTTATTTTATAAGTTAGTGCTGACTGAAATCTCAAAGAAAAACCCTGTTTCAAATATGTGATCACTCATTTACCAACTAGCTTTCTTGCTATTCCTTGAACATCTCAGGGGTACTCTCCAGTACCGGAGAGTACTTTTACTTTTAGTTCTTTCTGCCTGAGGTTGTTCTCCCAGCTGTAATAAGAAGCTCTCTCCCACTTTCTTCAGATAAAGTCATCTGTTTTCCGTGGCCACAGAATCTGCCATTTCAAGACTTCTTTCCCAGCTCTCCATATCCCACCTGGATAGATGCCATATATCTAAGTCAGACAAGTTTGTGTTCTTCCATTCTCTCCCACATCAGAAATCCAGCTTAGTAATATTCTTTTATGACACTATAATCTCTGATATAGAACTCTCCTACATGTCATGAAAATTTAATAAAATATACTGGACACTTCAGTAACTAGCCCCTTAGGTGACTTCTAAAACTAACTTATCCTGGTGGATTACATCCACAGAAGAAGTGATCAAAGTCAGAGTTGAGTGAGGAAGCAGTCTTCCATTTAAAAATGGGTTTCAATACAAAAATGTGTAAATTCAATCATTGGAATTCAGAATGTCCAGAGAAAATATTGCAAACTCTAGTTGGCCACAATGAGTTTACCAAGCCACAATGGGTTCAAAATGTCTCTGGAATCAGGTAGCTGAATGCTTAATTTTCTAGGCCAACTGGTCTCTTGCCATCAAGGATCCACTTTTTGCATAGGCATTGCACACTAACCTATAATAAGCTAGATAAAAAAACTTACATGAATTTATGAAGAAAATATTATTTATTCTTGCTTATGAATTGGATGGACATTCTCCTTTATTTCAATGTATTTCACAAAACAACACATATTTAAGATTAAGTATAAGTAAAGGAGCCTATAATACACACAATTTGCTACTACTTACCGCCCACGTTATGGTCAGTTCTCTATTGCTTCCACCTCCTCCTCCTACATCTGAAGGAGCCACATTAGGCGCTGAAACAGACAAAAGAACAACAGAAATACAAGCTATGAAATTTTTTTCTGTGCTAAGATTTCCAATTTAATACAGAAATCAGGATTTTTTTTTTTTTTTTTTTTTTTACATTAACTCTGAAAGACAAGCTGCACACTGGTTCATTCCATTAAAATCACAATGGCTCACAGTGGCTGTCATAATCTTTTTAATTGCCAACATGAAAACTGATCTCACACCACAAGACATGTGCCACTTTCCTGAAGCAAAGGGTAGCAAGGCAGATTTGCAATCTCTTCCAATCATGTTATCTTGATGTCCTTTAATATGATTTTGAAATATTAACTATAATCTGTTACAAAAAAGACTGCTGCATAAGACTCTTAAATTTGTTTATTCCATAAAAGTCAAACCATTTTGGAAAGCTCATTTTGAATAAAGACCTGCTCAGAGAGGCAGTGAGAAATTAAAAAAGCAAACAAACCAACGCTATACTTTGTTGTTAAAATACTTTACACCTCTTACTTTTGAACTCTATTATCTTCTGACAACTTACTGCTGTGTTTACAAATTAACATTAATTTACAATGTTGATTTACAAATCAATGTTAAGAAATACTGTGTTTACAGTAACACTGGATAATGTTTCTACAAATATCTGGGCTGGGGGAACACAACTGCTATTTTCCCTTATGCTCCTAATTCCAATATCTAAATCTCTTCAGGAACCTTGCAACATCAGTGACCAGCACTCCTCCATGCCTGTCCTCTTAAATCACCCTTCAGTTTCAGTCTCTGTACTGGAGAAATGGTTCTCCCTTAAGTCTCTCCTACTCTAAAAAGACATCCTGTAATATATCTTTTCTCTTAGTCTTCAACCCACCAAACCCTTGCCTGTCACAGAACTGCAGAGGAATGATATATGATGATATTTTGTCCCTCATAATTACTTTTAATGCTTCATAATATGTTTTCCACCATCTTCATATTATTGAAATGACTCTCAAAAATCGCAAAATTGTTTCTAGCTATTAAGTGCAATGGCCTTTTCTTTGTCTTCCTCCAAGTTATTCTTTATCCTTGAAACTCCTAGAGGGCAAGCACTGTTTCTTGCTGGATTTGAACCCTTATCACCTAACTGGAGTTGCAAAAATTAATAAAGCATAATTTGTCTGTATACTCAAGGCACATGGAGACTAGTTATGCAGATGAAGTCCATGTTTCAGGACATTTTCCCTCAGGATGACTCAGCTCAGTTTTAAATACCATTTCTAAATCTGTTTAAATTTCAAAGAAGAGATCAAATGTCAATTCTTCATGAGTCTCAGATCCCAATAGGAGAAAGCTACGCTTTCTACAGAATGCTCAGAGGACAGAGTCCATTTACTGATTTGCAAATTGTAACAAATAATCTTGATTCAAAGATACGTACCTCAAAACTTCTAATACTAGCCATGTAAACTATTTGGTGTAGTATACACATAAATTGCACAGAAAAAAACAAAAATACATGGTCTCCCTTACATCTATAAAACTGTGTTATGGTTTTTTTTTCCAGTGAGGAAGTTAATATGAAGTTTGAGAAATTTTATTTTACTACTCAGCTGTCACCACATGGGTGTTAGCAAATGAAATCAGGTGCATAGGGATGTTAAAAGATAATTTCGTTGAAATACTTTAGATAAAATACATACTAAAGGCCAGGATATTGAAATAACTCCTGGAAACTCTTTTAGCTTCATAATTCATATTCTGAAGTTAAAACCCTATATGCTATAGAGAAACAAAAAGCATTTTGTCATATGAATCAATGAGTATAAATCAAATTCTGTATGTTTAACTCTAAATATAGGTATAGTTGTCACAGGAAAATAATTTCAAAAATAACTCAAATAATTTATTACACTATAATTTGCTGGATCAAATATTGCCTTTATCAGGGTAAGTATTATTTGTCCAAGCATTTTGCTGTAATGCTTTTAATCATAACCAATACCTTTTTATAATTATTATTTTTAAGAATAGAGCTAAACATGGAGTATGTTTACATTAGATGGAATTTTTTTCTACTTTATAATGATTATTATGAGCTCTTTTTAATGAGTTTCTAATAAGAATTCAAGATGTATTTGCTCTTCAAAGTTCATCCCATGAACTTATGATGCTAAAATCAAGATGTAAACACAAGTACAAAAACAGAACAGTATTTCTTAATAGTATGTTTTTATGTCCTAATTGGAATAATAATTGACTCAATTTTTGCTGTTCTGCTCTGATGATGCAGTTTATTGTCAACAGCTAAGGGAGCATATTTTATAGGGGTAAGTGACATATAAACTACATATATTACACGAAGCTGAGAAGGGAGCAGCCAGGTGCCTTATATGCAGCCTCCAGAAACAGGAGGACATGGCTAGATAGAGACCCACTTAAGGGAAGGACAGGAAGCTTATTTAACTTTAAGCTCCAGGAAATTTAATAGAGGACAACCTAGACACTCTTTAAATGATAAATCATTACATAGAATTTAAACTAATATTTAGGGAAAATATTGAACTATTGACTTAAACATAATGTATAATACTTAAAATTTTACTGTGAAAGGTTAAAAAGAGTGAGCTTTTATTAGCTTGTCCTTTTGCCATGATTTCAGTGTAATAATGATTTTCTTATGACATTTATAAGAGGGCTTCAATGCTCTAAAGAAAAAAAGAAAATCAAACTATTTTCATGACCATTCTTTCCTATGGAAAGAAACCAATGCTAATTTTCCTTTCCTATATGAATGCTTAAATCGCTTACACAGAAGTGTCATCATGGGCTTTGATGTTTAGTTTGACAGTGTAACTACCGGTTTGTGACAAATCCTAAATTATGAAAATTATGGAGTATATAAAGATATGTCCCTGATTCAATATGTGCTGACTAGTTTTCGATAATTATCAGTTTAACTTGTATAGTCATTTTTAAAGACAAAAAGTTAACCATGATTGTAACTATTCTCTCTAATATACATCAAAATTTCATTGTGATTTAAAACAAAATTTTTAGTAATTGATTCAAAAGTTATATAAGTAATATTCAAAGTCTGTTGTTGTTGTTGTTGTTATGTGCCGTCGAGTCGGCCCCGACTCATAGCGACCCCTCCTTGGGTTTCTGAGGCAGTATCACTACGGAAGTAGGATTGCCCAACCTTCCTTCCGAGGAGTGGCTGGTGGGTTTGAACCGCCAGCCGTCTGGTTAGCAGGCAAGTGTCTTAGCCACTATGCTACCAGAGTCTAGAAAACCAAAACTAGTGAATCCTAGCACCTGTTTTCATTCTGTCCTTAAATTGTAACTTTTCTCTCTAATGTACATCAAAATTTCATTGTGATTTAAAACAAAATTTTTAGTAATTGATTCAAAAGTTATGTAAGTAATATTCAAAATCTAGAACACCAAAAGTAGTGAACTCTAGCACCTGTTTTTATCCTATCATTAAATACACACCTTTAAGCACTTATTGTTGCAAATAGCATGGCCCCGTAAATAATGAGCACACAGATAAGACACGGAAGTGACAAATTACATTAAAAAAATTCTGATACAGCATTCCCAAACATACACTGTACAAGTCTTGTGGCATTTCCAGAAGTAAATTTTGGCTTCATTCACCCTCATTCAAGTATCTGGAAATGTTACTTTTGATAATATTTGTAGAGTAAGTAAAGTGATAAACTATGGTCAAGAAATCATGAACTGAGTTTGGTAGTACCCTGGTAAGTGGAAAATAAACAATTGAAACTGTGTATCTGTTTCTATTAATTTGGTTGATAATTATATCTCAATTGTGTTTCAGTCATCAATTGGAACTTTGAACCTACTGAAGCCTGTCCATGAATCATGTGCTATCAACTGGAAACATAAATAAAGTGAATCCTGCACTAGCAGCAATGGCACCATGTAGCTATCAATAGGAATCTAGTTTCAATCTGCACTCACATAGTCATCACAATCATCTTCCAACATTGGCTTTTAATTAGAGAACTAAACAAAGCAAAACTGATACATTGTTACTCCTGGCTCAACAGTTGAATGAAAAAACTTACCAGATCATCTTAAGGCAACCATTAACCTATGTTAAGTCTGCTTATTTCATAGTCTAATTATGTCCTATTAGTGCCAATGTCCTCAATCAATGATCATGAGTCACCTTAGTCATATGCTTGTGAGCTATAAAAAGACCCTTGCTTCTTGTATACATCACATTTGAATTTTATTATCTCTTTACTACAACCAGCCAGTTATCAATTACATCTTGCACATGCTTTCAGTTTATAAATCTAAGTCTTAGAAGCCTTTAGAATCATGTCAGGAATTAAACACAAGTCCTATACTGCCAACTTTAAACTCAAAGTCATTTCAGGGGCAGAAGAAACAAGCAACAGAACTCTGTGCATTCACACTCTTTGGTTTCAACATGGTATTCCATTTCCATCACAAGCCCATCAGTTCACCATTGGTTGTACTTAGGAAAATATCTACCTTAAGTAAAGTGTCTACAAAATCAGTTTTATCCCCTACCCCTACTGCCATCAAGTCAACTCTAACTCAGAGCAGCCCCCACAGGGTTTCCAAGGCTGTAAATCTTTGTTGAAGCAGACTGCCTTGTCTTTCTCCTGCAGAGTGGCTGTTAGAACCTTTTGGTTAGCAGCCCAATACCATAACCACAGTGCCATCAGAGCTCCTTAGTTTTATCTCAGTATTTTAAATCCATTGGACAGAAAGAGAAATTGAAATTGAAGTCAGCAGCATGTAAAAAAAAAAAAGAAAATAACACACAAGGGTTGTGCAGGTTGAAAAAAGTATCATGTGCACATTGTTTGCATAAAAATACAGTAAATATGTAATTCTAAAGAGCTGATAATAAACTATAATATTTTGAATGAGAGTGGAACTTTGTAACTCCTGATCTTTTGTCTGATGGTGGAGCAGATTGCTAAAGCTGCTGAAGAACTTACCATGTTATACATTCCTATAG